TTTTTGTTATCGTTTTATTGTATTAGTTATTGTTATTATTCAAAACTTTTAATTATTATTTATTGTGCCCCTAGGCTGTTGCCTCGGTTCGCCTAATGGAAGATCTAGCCCTTGCCCTAAGGACTAGAATTATTCTCACACTCTTCATGCTTTGAAGTATATTCATAAGTTTTACAATTTATAAAGCTGCAGGAAAATATAAAGCTATAGTAAGTTATAAGACAACAAAATTGGAGAGTCAGTCTTTCTTGTCTCAAATAAAATATTAATGTCTTTCAGTTCTGTTTTCTTCTTTTGTTTCTTTTCCCTTCTTTCTTTTTTTTAAAGAAAAAAGATAACCTTTTGATAATTATTTGCTTATTTTGTAACATTTTGACTTCGTAATAGTACAACTTTTTCTTTTCAACATCTTATCCTACTGAATAACCTAATAAACTAAGTCGTTCACTTGGTCACACTTTTGCATAAACCGCAAGTTTAACGCTAAAATCAATCAAATAAATATTAAAATCGTCTGAGTTATACTTTTTTTCTAAGAAAGAAGAAATCGAATTTTGTAATGTTAGTTGGCGGCATAAGCAAACTTATTGACCACAATTGAGAAATGGAATATTAAGGAAGCGAGTCACGTAGTGTAAATGAAGTCACACGAGATGATTTCTCAGTAATTATTCTTGAAAGGGTGTGGTCATCATGATGTGATCCGGAAGGGAGCTATCGTCTTGAACACCCTCCGGTGGTCATCCAATTCCCTCATTTTTCCTTCGAAAAAAAATTCTACTTGTTGTGATAAGAGATGATAGATTTGAATGCGTGGAACGAAAAGAAGATTATCAATTGCTTCATTGTTTGCGAATTTCGTGTCTTACAAATCTGTTTCTAATACAGTCGAAACCTGTTTAAGGGACCAAAGCAATCCCTACTCAATAATGAAAATTTGTTACACCGATATTAAGAATAATAATATTTATTCAAATTATTGTGCTACATTCGGATTTTACGTCTAAAAAAATTTATAATTATTTTTCAATTTTGATATATTTATACTGTAATATATTGTCTTTAATATAATTCGGAAAATATGAAGTACAAGTGTAATATTTAAAACAGTTTAATATTTAAAAAACACACAAAAACTATTAAATTAAAACAAACAATCAATTTATTTTCTTATCCGACAAATACGCAATCCGTAATTTCCGTATAATTGACTTGAAACGATTAGAAATTAAAAATTTCTCCAAATTGTGTATATGTTTGAACAAAGTATCCGAAAAGTTGCGCTGAACAAAAACATTATTTTTTTTTTTAACAGTTTCCGAAATGGCTTATGAAGCTGCATGTACCAACGCTTTATTCTGAATGTGTTCATGCTTCCTATTTGAATTCTGAAATCATTGTGTACTTTTGAAGAAAGATAAAACTGCTTTGATCGTGAGAGAAAAAAAAAGATAATTGTGGCTTTCTTTTTACCGTCTTTAAAACAAACAATTCATTTCATAATATCCATACTTTTAATGCATTGTGTCGATGGAAATTCTTTTGGGGACTCGGAAAATATTCATTACTTTAAAAAGTTCGTCATTTCGGATTTCACTAAGACGGGAAATTTAATTTAATTTTTCCAGAGAAAACTAAAAACATAATTAGAATATTCTAATCAACTATTTTTTTAATCAACCGGAGTACACAATTTTCCAATAAATGGAGGAAAAATTTTATGTTTTATGGATCGATATTTAACCATGCTGTTTAAATGGTATATTTTGGTTGTAGTAACATCAGTAGTTGT